ATTTAAAATAAAGAAGACACAAGACCCTAATTTAAATAAAATAAAGAAGTGATGCTCGTGCTGCATGTCTGACACCTGGAATGATGAAAATTAATCTCACTGCGTTTTAATCCAAGCTCAGATTAACCACATTAATGTTTATGAGTGAGTGAAATCAAAAGCTTTTGTTTTGTTTGAGCTTTTCTGGTTTTTGTCTCGATAACGCGGTAAAAACACTGTCACGAGCACGGAGTGGCGCGTGCGTCTCTTTCTGTATTTACATCAGGGTGTATTTATGCATTTCTGCTTCACGTTTTTGTTTTTGTCGCTCATTGTGTTTCCGCACCCCGACGCGCGCACGCGCGCGCGCGAGCTCGACTCGCGCCTGTCTGCTCCCCACATCTCGCGCGCAGCCAGGTTCATCGGGTTTACTCTGACACCGCTGACTCTGAAGCCACACCTCCCGGTAGCCACGCACCCCGCCCCCGACCAATCAGAAGCCGAGCACGTAGGGCTTTAGCTCCGCCTCGCCTGTGATTGGCTGGAGCCCGCTACACCTTTAGCTGTGATTGGCTGCGTGTTACCACCCGCCAGACTGCTCTGAATTTTGTTTCTGTGGTTTTTTTTTTTTTTTTCGGCTGCTCTCAGCTGAAGCTCGGTTCTGTTGGCAGAAGCTCAGCGCTCCTTCTCCTCCGCGCACCTCCGCCTCACTTCCAGCTCCTCTTCCGCCTCCATGCTCGGCTTCGCGGCGGAGCGCCCCTGGCAGGTGAGTCCCGGCAGCAGCCCGGGTTTCGGAGGCTGTCCGGCCGAGCGTCAGTCAAAGTTGTCGGCTCGTGTTGAGTTCGGACCCGGCCGAGCTCCGCGGCTCTGCGGCTGCAGCTCCGGAGCTCGATCAGACCTGCAGCGCCGGGAAAAGGCGCAGGTTCGGGCTTTTTTCCGCGCTGTCAGCCGGTTTATCTGAGGTCACAGTGAACCCAGTGACCGGTGCGCGCGCACGTGTGTTTGTGTGGGGCTGCAGCCCGCGCGCATGCGCGTTGGTGTATTTGTGTAACGGGTCCCCGCATCGCTGCATCAGAAAGTTTGCAGATGTTTTTGTTTGTTGTTGTTGTTTGTTGTGTTTGTTTCCGCGCGCAGCGACGTCCTGCTCCGTTCCTGTGGGAGCCCAAACACCAGCCGAGCACGAATACACGATTTTAATCCTTATTTATTTGTTGGGTTGCAAATAAAACTCTAAAAATGCTCATAATCCAGACTCATGTCTGGGATGATGTTGTTTGTCTTCATGATGCTGAAATGAAAACAAAAATATATTTTTTAAAGTTTTAATGGAGAGAATATTCCTCAGATTAAACGATTGAAATCGGTGTTTCTTATTTTATCCTGATTTTATTTATTAAAAGGTCAAATTGAGCAGAACTGGGTTGTTTTTAATAAATCTAATGTCGAGTCCAAACAATAAAACGTGTCATAATAAACCCAATAGTCCTGTTATTGTATTAATTATTGATACTGAGCAGCACGTGATCGTTCATGGTGACCCCCCCTCGCCCCCCAGCCTCTTCTCATCACAACAAAGAGATTCAAACATCCGGCTCATCTGGAGGGAAACCTCCAACAAAGCTGGAAGAATGAAGCTTCTGTGCGTGTCTGAGGAGAAGCACGTGACCCCGATCACCTTATCGATCGATAAATCGGTTTTTTATCCTGTCGAATATCGATGAGCAGGTGGTGTGTTCGAGGAACGTGGGAAATATGAGCGCTGGCGTGTTTTGTTCCACTTCCTGTTGGTCTGTTTTTCCTCTCGGGGTGAGCGGGTGCATGGGGGGGCGTGGCCTGTGTTTAAGAGGGGGCGTAACCCATGTTGTCATCGGTTCTGGGTGCAGGGAGGTTCTGAGGAGCTCTCTGCAGACCTCCTCCACCTCCTCCACCTCCTCCACCCCGCCTGTGTGCAGCCGAACCTTCGCCTCTTTGTCCCCAACTCACCTCTCAGTTTATCTCCTTTTTCCACCTGAGCTGTTTTCTTTGTGTGTGTGTGTGTGTGTGTGTGTGGGGGGGGGGGGGGGGGGGGGGGGGGGGGGGGTCTCTGGAGGAAGTAGGAAAGCTGTGATGTCATCGGTGATCATGGGCGGTGTCGCCTTCGTTCCCACAGGAAGTGAGTCTGAACAACAGATCTGCTGCTGCGTTCATGGACCTCAGGAATAATCCGGTCTTTGTGGGTCAATTAGGGAAGTTAATTAGTGTTCCTCTAATCTTAGCTGCTTTAAATATTAGTTGAACCTCGGCCTGATGATCTCACGTTTTACCGTACGAGCGTTAACGTTCATGTTCGACGCCCAAACAGACATTTAGCTGCTGTTGCAGCAAAGAATCAGTTTTTTAATCAAACTGCAAACGGCTGCATGAGATCAGCTGTTTGTGCTCGTTAAGAAGAGGGAAAAGAGGCAGCTTCTGTGGGCGGAGCCAAACAAAGCTGCAGCATTCAAAGGTCAAATGTCTCCGTTAATTAATATAATTTAATTAATAAAGAGGATCAACTGTTTAATTATAAAATCCAGACCTTGTCAGGTCATGGAAATAAAAACCTGTTTCCTGAACGAGTCGGTCACTCTGGGTTTAAGTCTAGAGGACAAACCTGTCCCACATTCTGTCCCTGCTGACCTCTGACCCCGCTCGCCCTCAGGTTGACCACGTGAACAAGCAGGCGTCGGCGGCCATGGAGCAGAAGCCGTGCGTCGAGTACCACGACCTGGAGGCTGCCGAGGCGCTGGTCAGCATGAGCTTCTGGTGTCAAAGGCCACAGAAGCCCCGCCCACTGACCCCCACCTCCGACTCCTGTGACTCCATCCAGCTCCAGCCGGAGAGGGGGGACACTCCCAAAGACCTGATCGCCCTGTCCTCACTGGTACGATAAATACAATAGTTTGTTTACGTCTGGAACTCGGGGGTGGTTTTTGTGTTTTTGATGTTTGTGGGCGTGTCTTGTTGCAGTGCATGACTCCGCCTCAGAGTCCGAGCTTCGCCGAAGCCTCCACCACGACTGTCCTCACCACGACCTCTGCTCTAAGCCCCGCCTCCAGACATGTCTTGCTCCGCCCCGGTCTCGCCTCCCCCCCGATCACCTCGGAGACGTCAGTGCTCCCACTCCCCGCCGAGTCCTCCTGCGTGGCTCCGCCCAGCAAAGCCATGGCCACCAGCGTCATCCGCCACACGGCCGACAGCCTGGGCGTTCCCGCCCCGCCTCCTTCCGCCCTGCCCACGGAAACGTTTGTGACGCCTCCAGAGGACCCGCCCTCTTTGTCCCCCGTCAGCCCGCCTTCCCCCCCCCACGCCGCCTCGCCGTCTTCCTCCGCGCTCGCCTCCTCGCCCGTCCTCTGCCAGGTGTTCCCGGTAAGCAGCCAGGCGGGGATGATCTCTGCCTTCGTCCAGGCTCCGGTTCAGGTCCAGACTCAGGGGGGGCCCAAACCCATCCTGCCCCAGACCCCTCCTCCTGGCTTTGCCCAGCCCCTGCTGGTGGGCTCCACGGTGCCGCAGGGGACCGTCATGTTCGTGGTGCCGCAGGCGTCCGTGTCCCAGCAGCCCCAGGGCCCACAGACTGTCATGACCCTGGGCAACACCAAGCTCCTCCCCCTGGCCCCCGCCCCCGTCTACATGCCGTCTGGAGGCAACGGCGGCGCCACGCAGGCCGAGTTCTCCCGCAGACGCAACTACGTGTGCACCTTCCCCGGCTGCAAGAAGACGTACTTCAAGAGTTCCCACCTGAAGGCTCACCTGCGCACGCACACAGGTCCGTCCGGCGCCGCGCCACGGTTCGTACGTATGTCGGGCTCCGCACGCTGACTCACCCCTTGTTCCTCTCCGCAGGTGAAAAGCCGTTCAGCTGCCACTGGGAGGGCTGCGACAAGAAGTTCGCCCGCTCCGACGAGCTCTCCCGCCACCGCCGGACGCACACGGGCGAGAAGAAGTTCGTGTGCACCGTGTGCGACCGCCGCTTCATGCGCAGCGACCACCTGACCAAACACGCCCGGCGGCACATGACGAGCAAGAGGGCGTCCTCGTGGCCCGCCGACACTCGAGACCTCGCCAAGAGCCAGAACAGGGGCCCCGCACTTCCTGTTGGCGTGCTGGTCCCCGCCGCCAACTGAGAGGCTCGGGGCCGGCTCAGGACTCTTGGGGGGGTCAGACTCTAAACTGTGACTGGGAGACTCGATGGGCACCACCTGCTACATCAGGACGTTTCTCCACCGTCTGCTGGTCCGGGCTGCGTTTACACGACTCAGAACCGGGTCACGTCACCCGCTGAGCTTCCTGTAGAGACGTGCGCCCAGACCCGCTCTGCAAACACGCACACATTCGTATCAGATCCAAGTGCTGCCATAACCCGGACCGGGTCCTTCAGCGTGGGGGGGCACGCCTCCCCCGCCTTCTCAGGACATTTTCTTACCACAACCACAAAACTCTGAACAGGAAGGAGGCGACCGGCTGCTGCTCGTCCACACGGAACCAACAGAACCAACAGAACCTGAAGCTGCACTGGATTTTTTACAGCGTTCCTCGTTTTTCTACTCTCGGCGTATAATCACGTTTACTCCACATTTAGCCACGTGTGTGCACAGTTTGTTTGCCAAAGCTTCTGTATCGTGCGTTTATTAGCGACGTGTTTTTCATTCGGCTGTAAATATTGTAAATAAGCTCATATCTATATGAATGTTCCGTGTATTCCAGTCTCCATCTGTCGACGACTTGTTGGTTTTATTTTTTCACGTCAGTATTCATCACTGTGATACTACCTACCTTTGGTTTACTCGTTATTATTTAATTTACATTTGTTGAGAAGTTTTTGTTATGGTTTGGCCCATATTGTAGCCAGTAAAGAGAATACCTCATGTTTTTAAATGTTATTCTTAAAGACCGCTGAATAATCCCATTTCCATTCATTTGCTCGTGGACGATATAGCTTTTATAATAAAACGTTACCATGAAGTCTGCACCTCTTCATTTCTTTCTAACGCGAGCGCTCGTTGTTAAAATGATCAAACACAGGAATGAAAAGTTAATTTAGTGACGACAGAGTTGCACGTTTCAGTTTCCCAGAAATGACTCAACTTTACATTAAAGTGCTAACTCGTTAGCCAAGCTTGATTACAGCTGGTGCGTTTGTTTACTGTTTATTCACATCATAAACAGGCTTGTTTACTTTTGCTTACACAAACAAATAATAGCTCCTGTTTGATTTGAAATATAGCTTTTAAAAATAAATGTTAACTATAAAAATGTGTTCTTTTTCTAACTTTTAAGGTTAAATTTAACTCAGAAGTGTCATATTTTATTGTTAGCAACACATTTTACTGATATATAAATATTAGTTCCCAAGTTAAATGGTTTTAGTTTTGATTTGTGAAAAATATTTTTATCTTTTAAATGAGGAACTCGTTTTAAATCGATATAGAAAGAGCTCCCTCGTGTTAAAAACGTAAAATATGGTTTTGAACGTTGTTACTTTTCTGGAGTTGTGTTTAGATTTTGTCCTGATTGATTATTTGCACTAAAACAGAGTTCTGCAGGACACAAACTGAACTTAACTCACCTTTCTGAGCTGCAGTCTTACATAAACACACGCAGTAGGTGACGTCAGCAGTTATACAACCCGAGCCCCACCCCTCGCTCCCCGCACCACCCGGTAACAACCACCAGCCAATCAAAAACCAGGTTTGAGGGGGCGTGACCAATCAGAGCGCGTCTGTGCGGTTCAAACACAGTGAGGGGCGTGTCAGCCATACTTGAAGTCTCCGCCCACTTGCCTTACTGACCGACATTCAGCCGAAGACTGGAAGGAAACGTATCAGAAGGCGGGAAACAGCGACACCATGTGGTCATGTGAAGTACTACACAACTGAAACTTGGCGATGTTTAATGTTTGCACACGGTCTTTACGTGGTGAAAGATTCACAAATATTTTAAACTCAGTTTTTATTTTTACTATATAATGCTTTATATAACAACAACTTCATGTGCTGTTCGTAGCCACCTTTAAAAAGTTTAGAAAAAAAGACCTGTCTAAATTTAATTGTTTTTTAATCCAGCCTTGTTTTAGGGTCTTGAAAAAGTCTAGCTATCATAAATGTTATTTGTCATGCTGTCATCTATAATTCAATCCTTGATCTGCTTCCTTCATTTATCTCCTCCTACATTCATTCAACCTTTATTTCTACAGGTTAGTCTCATTGGGTCACAAGGACTCATTTACAAAAGAGATCTATTTTAAACAAAACCATAAATGAGGTACACACAAGAATAGACATTCATATGAAAACATATCAAATGAAAAGTATATAAAATAAGTGATAATAAAACAAACAAAAAACACACTACATTATAAAACGGTGTGAGATACGAAATACATGTCTCTGTGTGAGTGCAGCTACAGCGTGCGCTCTCAGGACATCATTACCTGCAGTGTTCCCTCAGTGAGGACTGAACTAGGTAAAAGGACCTTCTCCTGCTCCGCTCCTGTTTCCTGGAATATCTTGTAAAAAGATCTGAAGCTCTCGACCTTTGACCTCTCTAAGTGTCTTCAAACATGTGTTAGTTTCCTGGAATAAAAACACACAACATGTTCCTGTTTGTAGTATTTTACCTCGTTTCATAATGTATCTTGTTTGTATTTTGTTTATTTACTTTTCATTTCATACAGTTTTATGAGTGTTTCTTGTCACGTGCACCTCATCTGTGGTTGTTGATTAAAACAGGTTTCTCTTGTAATGAGTCCTCGTGACATGAGACTAACCTGAAGAAATAAAGGTTGAATGTGTTGAAGGATTTATATCTGACACGGTCCAAAGACATGTTACAAATAATATTACGTTTAAAATTTGAGGAACTACGAAGACCACTTTGAAGTCTTGCTGGGGTTTCATGCTTTCTTTGAATCTATTTCATATTAATATCTAAATAATGTTTTAATCAACTCTCTGACGCTGTCTTCAACGATCCTCTCCCAGCTACGACTTTGAATCTGAACTAAACGGGAATTGACCTTATTTGCTGTGTGGAGGAAACTATTTGTTTTAATTATTTTACGTTGCTGCAGATAATTTATTTATTGAAAAACATGGTGATCATCCAAATAATGAAGATTTAGATTTAGAAAAGGTGTAGAAAGCAGCTGATATTCTTAAGTCTGATCTTGCGATGAAGGTTCTGGTCTTCCATAATTTGGACTCAATTTTTTTTTTACTTTGAATTTAAAAAATAAAAACCTTCCCATTCACTTGACTTTTTTAATTAATCAATTATTCATTCGACCTTTTGTTATTTTTAATTGTTTTATCTAAAAATTTTTTAAAAATTACAGTTAAACGGTGAGTGTGCTCCTCCCCGCCGCCAGAGGGCGTCGCTGATTTCTGTCGTCATCTTCCGCAGCCGGAAGTAGCTGATTTAATGAACAACGTGTCGGTCTTCAACATGATGTTCGGCTCCTGGAGTCTGAAACCCGATTAAATGGAAGGTACAGAACCAACAGATCATTAGGATTTAAAACGAGGGAATTTATTTGTTTAATAAATAAATACACAGGCAGGTTTTTATTATTTTTACTTTGGGATTAGTACAGTTGAGTCTACGATGGAGCGACGTCAAAGTTCGTCATACACTGAATACATCATGTATAAACTGATAAAAATTAATGCTGGAGAAAGTTTGTAAAAAGTTACAGATTCTGACTTCATAAAACTAAATTTTGTTTCACGACTAATCGGTTAAACAATACTTTTTTTGTAAACTAAGATATTTAAAGTCTCCGCGTTAATATTGGCGTTTACTGAATTAAATGTGAATTTTGTTAGATTTTGATTTTTTTTTTCAAACGTTAATTAACGTTAAAAATAAACACCCGCTGTTTTTTTTTTACTGTCACGTGATTAAATATCGCCATCTGATTGGCTCAGTCTCCGCAGTTGGCTGCACGAGCTGCTCTTCGATTGGTCAGTTCAGTTCAGGCGCTAATATTTAACCAGACGAGCCGACAGCAGGCTCGGTAGTTTGTCTGGTGTCCAGTTTTTACTTATATTATTTTCCCAACTTTTATTTTGTTGTGTTTATTTAATACCGAAGAAGTCGCGATGCTGTCCGAGCGCTACGCCCTGTCTATGAAGCACGAGAAGACCGTCCGCGACGCGTCGTCTGACAAAGAGAACACTGTGCGTGCGCGACAGAACGATCTGTAACACCTGAGCGCTTCAGCTCCGAACTTCTCCCTGATCAAAGTTTGTGTTTAAAACTTTTCTCACGGTCTTTGTTTCCTCTCAGCCTCCGAGCTGCGGCCTGACCTTCAAACCGACCCAGAACGTCTTCACGGAGCCTGAGGTGAGCGGTAGGGTTGTGTCGGTGTTGTGTCGAGTTTGGTTCCCCGGCCCATCGAGTCCCACCAGCCGCCATTTATCCTGTTGAAGTGACCGCGTTATTTAAAGAAAAGCTTTTAAAGTATTTATTTATTGAAATGTATTATGTTTTTCAGCCACAGCAGGGTGGAAATTACAATTAGTTTATGGCAGAAGCTGTGAATGACTTGAACTGCTTAAACTTGGAGACCAAGATGGAGCTAAAAGCTAAAGGGCTAATGGAAGGAAGCAGATGTGGCTAAAAGGTGGATGTAAATGTTGAAGCAGTTTACAAAGGAATGGTTTTTAATAGTGCTCAGTATTCTGTAGGTTAAAGTAGGTTTTTTTTGCACAACGTGCAGAATGAGGTCCAGATACCATCAGAAGTTCTTGTTCCTCATCTTCAGATTGTTTTTGTTCTCCAGGAAGTATTGAAGAGCGGCGCTGAGGAAGAGGAGCCGCTGCTGAAGGACAACCCCCGTCGCTTCGTCATCTTCCCCATCCAGTACCACGACATCTGGCAGATGTACAAGAAGGCAGAGGCTTCGTTCTGGACGGTCGAGGAGGTGAGCCGGCGCTGCCCAGAGGCTCGTCAGAACCTCTGGGTGACGTCATGCTAACGACCCTCGTCTGTCCAGGTGGACCTGTCCAAGGACCTGCAGCACTGGGAGTCTCTGAAGGACGAAGACCGCTTCTTCATCTCCCACGTGTTGGCCTTCTTCGCCGCCAGCGACGGCATCGTCATCGAGAACCTGGTGAGGAACCGCTGGTCTGTCTGTGGTTCGGCTGCTGTGGCTTCAGACTCGGCTTGACCTTCTCTTTGACCTCCAGGTGCAGCGCTTCACACAGGAAGTGCAGGTGCCGGAGGCCAGGTGTTTCTACGGTTTCCAGATCGCCTTGGAGAACATCCACTCTGAGATGTACAGCCTGCTGATCGACACCTACATCAAGGAGCCCGCGGAGAGGTGAGCTGCTGGTTCTGGTCACCTGTGACCGGGCTCGGGCTGATACCCGGGCTACCCGTCTTGAGTATCTTAACGGTGCATTCAATGGCTCATCCAGAGAATTCCTGTTCAACGCCATCGAGACTATGCCATGTGTGAAGAAGAAGGCCGACTGGTCCATTAACTGGATCAAGAACAAGGATACTGCCTACGGTAAGCCCCGCCCACTGACATCAGTTTCTGCTGCAGGTGTTGACGTTGATCATGTGATCGATCCATCAGGGGAGCGTCTTGTGGCCTTCGCTGCTGTGGAGGGGATCTTCTTCTCCGGCTCGTTCGCCTCCATCTTCTGGCTGAAGAAGCGAGGCCTGATGCCCGGTCTGACCTTCAGCAACGAGCTCATCAGCAGAGACGAGGTCCGACTTGTTTCACAGCTGAGCCGGTGTTGTGGTTCTGGTCTGTAGTCCGGTTCTGGTCCGCTTCATGTGTCTGTGCTGCATTCAGGGTCTGCACTGCGACTTCGCCTGCTTGATGTTCAAACACCTGCTGAACAAGCCGACCTCTGACACCGTCACGAAGATCGTCAGGAACGCCGTGGAGATCGAGCAGGTGGGTCGGCAGCGGTTCTGGTTCCGCTCCCGTCGTGTGTGTGTGTGTGTGTAACGTGTTAACATGTTTGTAACGTGTGTTTGCTGCAGGAGTTCCTGACTGAGGCTCTGCCCGTGAAGCTCATCGGGATGAACTGCGAGCTGATGAAGCTGTACATCGAGTTCGTGGCCGACCGGCTGCTGCTGGAGCTGGGCTTCTCCAAGGTAACGACAGAACCGAGCGGTTCTGACCCGGGACCAGCAGGAGTGATGATGAGTGGCGCAGGGGTACGGACCTCAGCCGGATCATGGGGGCTGAGTGCTGCTGCAGGACCTGATCAGGAACATGTGGTTCCGTCAGGGTCGGCCGCAGCACGACACAGACGCCTGACTGAACTAACCTGCGGTCCCGCCGTACCCGGGTCAGACCAGCCGGACCTGAGTGAGACCCTGTCCTGGTTTGTCTCTGCAGGTCTACGGGTCGGACAACCCCTTCGACTTCATGGAGAACATCTCTCTGGAGGGAAAGACCAACTTCTTCGAGAAGCGGGTCGGGGAGTACCAGAGGATGGGGGTCATGTCTGGTCCCACCAACAACGCCTTCAGGCTGGACGCAGACTTCTGAGACCAGACCAGATCCACTTGAACCGACAACAAGCCTACCTCTGCCCCCGTGCAAGCATAAGTTATCCTGTAAATGAAACTTAGATTTTAATATATTTATAAACTGTTTTTGTGCAATAAATTGTTAAAGTTAATAAAGAGCAACTCTAAAACATCTGGAGTGACTTTCTGTGACGATCAAATTTAAACTCTTCAGGCTCGTAGTGAAAATTTGACGACCGTTAAAAACTTGAGGACTCGTCTGGTGCCACATTTTTAACTTGTTGAGCAGAAGTTTCTGGATGAGATCATGAAAGTTGCCAGATGATCTCTGCCAAACTTAAGTCAGACTCCTTGAACTGCATGTGGAAGAACCATACACAGCTACAACGGTGTACTGCTCGTTGGCTTGGTCACTCTGCTGTGACGATCTCAACCTACTCTCCAGAACAACCTGCGCTGACCCACAGGTGGACTCTGAAAGACCTGTGGGGACGAGGGACATTTGGAGAATGGAGTTTGGTCTCAGACTGAAGACCTGAGACACTTCCTTCACCAGAAGTTCCTCTGCTGATGCATCAGTCTGAACATTCCTCCAGGTGGACTCATTCAGGACTCATTTAAAATATGAACTCTAAACTTTTTATTTTAATGATTTGAACTTTATCTAAAACTTTGTCTACGTACTGACTGCATTCTAAAATATTCAAATTTGTATCAATTTATTAGAACACTTTAAGATGATCCATCCACCTCGGGTGTGACCTCAAGGTGCTGGTTAGACAGCATGGTTGTTGCACAGGTTAGGCTGACCACAACAAAAGGCCACGTGTTGCAGGTTTGGAGGGAGCAGCTGCTGACTGGAGGAACCAGAACTGCTGCTCGTCACTTGAAGGTTCAGTTCTCTACCATAAACAGTCTAAAGACATTTTGGAGAACTTGGCAGAACCTCAAACTGACCTGACCACCACAGCCCAGGACCTCCACCTCTGCTCATCTGGGTCTCCACCTGCTGGGAGTTCATAACTGACCCGAGTGGGTAGATGTTTCGATGGTGTGTTTGGATTATCAGTGTACAGGTGAACGATGTTGACGTGTATCAAGGTGTCGTGTGTTCAGGCGTACGTTATGAACCTTCAGACTGGTGTGATGTCACGTGGTCCGTGGTTGAGGCCAGTTGGACGTTCAGTGCTGCCAAGTTCTCTGAGCGCTGACGTTCTTGCACTCATGAATAATCACTGAACCTGCAGCACGTCAGGGCGCTGTGATAAAACTGCACGTTGCAGCAGCCTTTTGTTGTGGTCAGCCTAAAGCACACCTTGATCTGCCACACCTGAGCGGTGGACGGATCGGCCTTTTGGGTCATAGAAAGTCTTCGTTGTGTCCAACGCCAAACAAAAGTTTATATTTCTGTTCCAACAGAAAAGCTGCGTTTGTGTAGAGTGCAGAGGTTCCCAACTCTGATCCTTGAGGAACACCATCCTGCACGTTTCCTGCTCCAACACCAGATTCAGTGACTGAGTTACTTCAAGTTCTTCACCCATTCATTCAACTCAGAGCCGTCAAAGCAGGGAACAAAATCATGCCAGGATGGTGTTCCTCAAGGACCATGGTTGGGAACCACCTGTTCAGAGCATTTGAGACGTTCTCTCCTTCCAACAAGATCTTTAGTAACTAATAAATTTAATGACGTGTTCACTGGAGGAGTTAATAAAAATAAATAATCCAGTTTGTTTTTAAACTAAAGCTCATCTTTTCATGTCAACACATTTATTCACACGTTCATTATTTTTATTATTTTATTCGTGAAGCTTCAACCTGCTGATCATTATGGGTCAGCAGAGTTTTACATTTAAATATTTACGGATGTGACCGTTGTGCTGTCAGAGCATCCTGACGTCCAGCAGCGACACGTCTCCCAGAACCTGCAGCTGCGTGATGCGGGTCAGGTCCTGGACTCGGTGCTTGTAGTCCACCTGGTGCTGTCCGTTCACGGCCACCCTGAAGTGCTGCGGGTCGCACATGATGATCATCTGCAGCCAAACAAGACGTGTCACAGAAAGCAGAGCGAGCGTCACGTCGCAGGAGCCGACGGTACCTCGAAGTACTGGCCGGCGCTGAACGGGAAGCGCTCGAGGTTCTTCTCCTCCGGGCCCCAGCACTCCGACAGGAAAGAGTTCCTGATGAAGACGCCTTTCTTCAGACGGGGGTTCAGATGAAGAGCGATGTTGCTGCCGCTCGCCTCCCGGAGATTCACGGCGAAGCTTAAAGAGACGAATCACACGAAGCGTTTGTTTCAGCCCGTCCCGGATCAGAACCGCCGGGCGTCCTACCTGATGGCGTTTGCGTTGATCTGTCCTTTGATGATGACGCTGCGTCCGACCGTCAGACCGCCGTCCAGCTGCGCCGTGAAGGGAACGCTCTGCAGAACAAACGACCTGGAATCAGGTGTTCACTCCCAACTTTAACGGTTTTAACTGACGACGCGGCTGAAGGAACGTTCTCCACCCTGAACACGACTTCCTGTTTGGATTCATCTCCGCCGGTGTCCGAACGTTCGGCTCATTCAGGACGTCACGGCTTTTCTAACTTTTACTTTTCTCCGTCAAAGAAATGCAACTAAATCTGTTCAGACGCTAAAGTGTTCTTACTTCAGCTAACTCGCTACAACTTTAGCTTTAAGCTTCTGTTTTGCTCATTTCAGCTTTTTTTCTGATCATTTTAACAACTCTAGTTTCAGCTCTCAGCATTTTAGTCATTTTTCTGTTTTATTTTTATAAATTTCACAATAAAAGAAAACCACATCCAATCAGAGCTAAGATCCAAAAGGCCCGGTTCTGTCCAGCTGTAATAATCCTGACTCGATTGATTATTGTTTAAAGAAGCGGTCTCAAACTGATCTGAGATCAGCTCATGCCTCACCTTGAACCGGACCTTCAGAACCAGAACGACGACGGACTTTAACATTTTGTCTTTGTGTTTTTAAATAACGACACGGTGGACTGTAACGTGTAAAACTTCAGGACCACATGGACTCACCAGGTCCCCTGATGATGACATCATCGGCTGAAAGAGCAGACAGGAAACAATTAGACACGAGAACACTTGAGATGGTTCTGATGAAACGGTTTGTTCACCTCTGACTCCAGACTGCTCAGGCTGGGAGCAGGAGAGACGGGGTTCTAACAAACAAACAAACAAACAACCGGGTCAGAGCCCTGCAGAACCGAGCTGAGACCACCAGAAGCCGTCGGACTCACAGAAGGCGGTGGGACGACGGCCACAGTCTGAACTTTGACCCTCCCTGAGATGCAGACAGTGTCGACCCGCTCCAGGTCCACTCGGTGTTGGTACTCCAGCAGGTGCGCTCCGTTCACCGCCACCTGAGCAGCAGAAGAACTTCAGGTTAAAGAGAACAAAGTTCTCAGATCCAGCTGTTGCTGCACAATCACAAACTTTAACGATTCTTTCAAAAGGAAACATTTTATTAAATATTTACTGGTTTGTTTTATTTTGAACTTCTTTGCGCAGCTGGAACAAAATTAATTTATTCTGATTCTCTAAAGTTCAGATTGAATAATCCAGAAAGCGTGGAAGAGTTGCACACGCACCGAGCTGCGGCCTCACAGCAGAATCTCTATCGTGGATGTTTCAGGTCTTCGTGCTCAAAATGTGACAGAAACTTCAACTGATTTCGATTCATCAAATCAGAGATTTTTAGACGTTCAGTTGAACCAAAGTGAGTCTGAGGTCAGCCGGAGTCTCACCTTGAAGCGGTCCCTCAGAATCAGAACCACGAGCTCAAACGGAGCGCCGGCCCTGAAGGGCATCTCGTAGAGTTTCTCCTCGCGGCCCCAGCGCTCCTTCTGCAGCGAGTTGCACACGACGCACGACTTGTTGAGCCTCGGGTTGAAGTGGAACGCCACGTCGGCCCGCGGCTCGGTGCTGCTGCCGCAGGTGAAGTCCACCTGGAACCTGCGGGAGGTCCGAGGAAGAACGTCACACAAACTGCACAGACGAGAGATCGGCGCACCTGAAACAGAACCTCACCTGTCGGCATCGGGCGGCACCGCTCCCTGGAACAGAACCATCTCCCCCGGTACCAAACCACCCAGGATGGTCCCGGCAAACGGGACTGACTAAGAACAAACAGAAGAAGAAGAACATTCAGCTGAAAGAACGAGAGAAGAGGACAAAAAGCAAAGTCTTCCCAGCTGATGATTTAAAGAAGTGTGGGATTAAAGGTCCAGTGAACCATCAAGAGTTACCTGGAGCCTTTTTATTATTAATTATTAATTATAAGAAACATTCCTCTAAAACGAGTCCAACACTGGAGAGTTACAAAACAAGTTTATTTAACTACAGTCCACGATCAAATTAATCTTTCAGAAAGAAAACAAAGACTTTTGTACATTTTTTTAAAGATAAACAGGTTTACCACAAACTTTACCCGTAAACATCAATTTATTTATTAATTTATTCATTTTATAATAATAAGAATACATATCAATTTACATGTATGTAATTTGAATATAAGCTAATTTATGAGCTAAAAGTTTGATTTTCAGGTAAAAACAAGATTTCATGTCTCAACAACTTCAGCTGAGGACGATATCATTTACAAGAGATTCAAACAAAGCAAGAAATTAACTTTAGAAGTTTTATTTTAGTTAATTTTAACTTTTAAACACCCGTTCGTAGTTTGAGCCGAGCTAGCATGCTAACAGCTAACTCTTGGATAAACTCACAGATTAAAATAAATCTCAGAGGATTAGACGAGTCCAAACCGATGAACCTGATGGACTCGGACTCTTACCGGGTTGGAAAACATTTGTCTCGGGTTAGAATTCGACATTTCGAGGCAGAAACGAAGACCCGCCGCAGCTTTGTTTACTTCCGCGTGACGACACCTCACGGAAGTGACGTCGTAAGATTAAACAAACCCGGAAGTCTATTAAAGGATTTCATTTACCCTCTATTTATCCAGGTAGTGTCATTGAACCACGAGAACTCATTTTCTAGAGAGACCTGTTGAGGAGCAGATGGTGGGGGTATATATGACGTATACGTATATATACACACATATATATATACATATACGTATATATATATGTGTGTATATATACATATATATATATATACACATATACGTATATATATATATATGTGTGTATATATGACGTATACGTATATATACACACATATATATATATACATATACGTATATATATATGTGTGTATATATACATATATATATACATATACGTATATATATATATGTGTGTATATATGACGTATACGTATATATACACACATATATCTATACATATACGTATATATATATGTGTGTATATATACATATATATATATATATATATACATATACGTATATATATATATATATATGTGTGTATATATGAATATATGTATACATATATACATATATATTTGTATATATACATATATTAATATATATATGTATGATAACGTTAAAAAAGTAAGATGAAGCTGAATTAAGTGCAGCTCGAGTTCAGCAGTCTGACCGCTGCAGAGGTTCTTGCTCTGGATGCTCCTCAGCCGCCTGCTTGATGGGAGGGGCTGGAACAGACTGTGTGCAGGATGAGTGGAGTCCTTCATGATGCAGAGCACTCTCCCCCTGCATCATGGAGTGTAGAGGTCCAAGGTGGTGGAAGAGCTGCTCCAGTCTTCTGTGCAGCCTCTGCAGAGCCGTCCTCTCAGCTGCCGTGCCACACGATGATGCAGAGCACGTTCTCCACCACAGATAGAAGCTCCTCAGGACAGAGCTCCCATGTCCAGCTCTCTGCAGCTTCCTGAGGAAGCAACACGCTGGTAGGCCTTCTTGACCAGACAGGAAGTGTTGACTCCAGGTGAGGTCAGTGGATATATGCACCCCCAGGTACCTGTAGCAGGAGACCACCTCCACAGCTGCTCCTCCCATGTGTAGGGGATGAAGAGGATCCTCGTCCCTTCTGAACTCCATCATCTCCTTGGTCTTCTTCACTGATGCAGATCGTCTCTGCACCAGTTTAACTTCTCGTGACGGTTTTAATCATTTTTCTCAGTATTTATATAAATTTAAAGGTTTCTGTAGGTTCATGGTTTAAATGGTCATTTTTAGCTTAAACTTATTTTGTGATAAAAGTCGAGGTCAGTTCATAATTAATCCACAACTTTTGATTCCGTTCCAACAACTCGAATCAAAACGTTCAGCTCATTCAGGACACTCCTACTTTTGGTGCAACTTCAGCTTTTTCTGACAAATGAAACTTTCCAGCTCATTTCAGTTTGATCCCACCCTGCTTCAGCTTCTTCAGCTAACTGAACTTATGGATTTCAGCTAATTTAATCATTTTGTGCCCATTTCAGCTTCTTTCTGCTTAAATCAGCAAATCATTCGGCTGCTTTTGACTAGATATTTAGCTGTTCAGATGAAACCAACAGATCTTCATCGTTCAGTCGAGGCTTGAAGCACAAAATGTGACTTTATTAGAAAAACCTAAAAACTATGTACATGTTTATGTACACAGTCGCTGTCCGGAGGTAAACAAGAAAACAACAAGCAGAAGCCCAGCAGGTCGGGTTATGTACAGGAGGTTCTGGTCCAGATGTTGCTGCGCTCCCATCGGCTGAAATCATCAGTTCATGGAGACGCAGCTCTGGTTAGAGTTCAGGTCGTCCCACGTGTCCAACCAGCGCTGGTCTCAGAAGTCTGCGTCCAGCCTGAAGGTGTTGTCTGTGGGGCCCGACATGACCCCCATCCTCTGGTACTCCCCGACCCGCTTCTCGAAGAAGTTGGTCTTTCCCTCCAGAGAGATGTTCTCCATGAAGTCGAAGGGGTTGTCCGCGCGGTACACCTGCAGAGACAAACCAGGACGTGGTTCACGCTCAGACAGGATGAAGATCTAAACGGATCAGCGACGGTTCTTCACGGGTCGGTTCTGTCGTTACCTTGGAGAAGCCCAGCTCCAGCAGCAGCCGGTCGGCCACGAACTCGATGTACCGCTTCATCAGCTCGCAGTTCATCCCGATGAGCTTCACGGGCAGAGCCTCAGTCAGGAACTCCTGCAGCAAACACACGTTACAAACATGTTACAAACACACACACGACGGGAGCGGAACCAGAACCGCTGCCGACCCACCTGCTCGATCTCCACGGCGTTCCTGACGATCTTCGTGACGGTGTCAGAGGTCGGCTTGTTCAGCAGGTGTTTGAACATCAAGCAGGCGAAGTCGCAGTGCAGACCCTGAACGCAGCACAGACACGTGATTCTAAAGAGCAGTTTGGCTTCACGTGCGGTTCCTGAAACTTTAATAAATTCATTGTTTAAAAACCCGGACCTGACCCGTCAACTGGTTCAAAACCACCTCGCAACTTCCTTCCTTTCTAAAATCTTAGAGAAAAGTTTTTATTCAACTCAACGAGTTTTTGAACGAAAATAGAATTTGAGATCTTTGTCTGGTTTTACACTTCACGGCACTGAAACTGCTTTGATGAGGGTTCGTAACGAGATTCTGGTATCAGATGATTCTGGTTGGACCTGGACCTGCCTTTGATACCATGACTGGAACCAGTCTAACACAGGCGCTGCGTTAGAACGGTTCCACTCACATCTGAGTTCTGTGTCATTGTTGGTAACTTTATCTGCTTCAGCATCTCGTTCCTGTGGGGTTCCGCAGGGCTCGATTCTTGGACCCCTTGTGTTTTTATCGTATCTGCTCCCCTTGGGGTCTAATCCTGAGGAAACGTGGTCTTTTGTTTCATTGTTATGCTGATGATTGTCAGATCTGCCCTTAAAACACAATAGTTCTCGCTCCATTCACCCTCTGTTAAAATGTCTTTACGACACAAAGACATGGACGGCTTCAAATTGTTTAAGTTTTAATGATCAGAAAACTGAAGTCCGTGTGTGCCTTTCCATTTCACCAGTTCTGTCCTCCCTTCACTGGCTCCCTGTACGCATCAGAATAGATTTTAAAACTCTCCTAACATTTAAGTACATTGATGACCTTTCACCCTCACATCTCTCTGACTTACTTCAACCAGATGTTCCTTCTTGGGCACTGAGATCATCTGACCAGCTGTTTTGGTTGAAGCTCAGAGGAGATCAGGTTTTTTTCAGACGTGGACCTTGAACTCTGGAACAACCTGCCCCCCAACATTAGACAGGACACTTTACTTCCTGTTTTTAAATCTCTTCTAAGAACTTTTTGTTTTTATGTTTTTCTTTTGATGCTTTTAATTAACTTCCGGTACGATCATTACTTTTATTCCCCCCATCAAATTACTGCCATCGAGTTTTGTTGTTAAACAGCAGCTGTTTTAAATGTGCTTTATAAATAAAGTCGACTTGACATGAAACGGAGCAGAACCAGAACACAGGCTCAGCTGTGAAACAAGTCGGACCTCGTCTCTGCTGATGAGCTCGTTGCTGAAGGTCAGACCGGGCATCAGGCCTCGCTTCTTCAGCCAGAAGATGGAGGCGAACGAGCCGGAGAAGAAGATCCCCTCCACAGCAGCGAAGGCCACCACACGCTCCCCTGATGGATCGATCACATGATCAGCGTCAGAAGAGGAACAAAATAATAATTCTTATAAAATGTTCTCAGCCTGAACTCGTTCTGCTGCTTCCAACTAACCTGCCCCTCCTCAACACGGTGAAGGTGATGTCACAGTGGGCGGGGCTTACCGTAGGTGGCGTTCTTGTTCCCGATCCAGTTCAGCGCCCAGTCGGCCTTCTTCTTCACACATGGCAGAGTCTCGATGGCATTGAACAAGTATTCTCTGAGGGTCATTGAACACATCGTCAGATAGAGAACCAGTAGTGGCCCAGTCGCAGGTGACCAGAACCAGCAGCTCACCTGTCCGCGGGCTCCTTGATGTAGGTGTCGATCAGCAGGCTGTACATCTCAGAGTGGATGTTCTCCATGGCGATCTGGAAACCGTAGAAACACCTGGCCTCCGTTACCTGAACCTCCTGAGTGAAACGTTCCACCTGGAGGAGAGGAGGAGGAACGGGATAAGAAGACGGGTCGAACCCAAAACAGAGCAATGACCAGCAGCCGGTTCCTCACCAGGTTCTCGTTGACGATGCCGTCGCTGGCGGCGAAGAAGGCCAACACGTGGGAGATGAAGTAGCGCTCTTCGTCCTTCAGAGACTCCCAGTGCTGCAGGTCCTTGGACAGGTCCACCTGAAGAGACGAGGATCGTTGTTAGCATGACGTCCCCCAGAGGTTCTGACGAGCCTCTGGGCAGCGCCGGCTCACCTCCTCGGCCGTCCAGAACGAAGCCTCTGCCTTCTTGTACATCTGCCAGATGTCGTGGTACTGGATGGGGAAGATGACGAAGCGGCGGGGGTTGTCCTTCAGCAGCGGCTCCTCTTCCTCAGCGCCGCTCTTCACAGCTTTGGACTGGAGAACAAAGAATAATTATATGGGAGCTCAGAGCGACCCGGTTCCTGCAGAACATGTACTCTTTGGGAGTACCAGTACTTGTTTCAGGAAGAAAATCTAACTCTTAAAACTCTTTTCTTGTCCAAGCGATAAGGCAGCGCTCAGGGAGCCGCGTACACCTCCGCCCATCCTTCAGGCTCAACTGTACGACAATCAAGATGATTCTGACTCATTTTAAGCTAAACTAAAAAATGCAGGAAGTGTGGCGAAGCACACTAAACACTTATTGGCCCTCACGTTGAGGGCGGGGCACAGCTTCAACCAATCAGGTGCTTGGAAATAAGACACGTGACATTTAAGCCCACAAATGGACTTTTCTTCACACAGATTGTGATGAGCAGAACTCAAGATCGTTTCTTGGAGTTCGATAAAACTCGTTTAACGTTCTGAACATTTAAAATAATACGAGAACTCTGCTCTAAATAAAGTATATGATAAAAAATATCTTGCATTTAGGACATGTTGGGGGCCAGATAAGAGCTCTTGTTTGACACTAGAAGTGATCAGCTGATGATTCTACATGCAGGACGGTGGCCCTCAAGGGTCAAGTTAGGACACAAACACCACACCACAGGTGGCCGCTACACCTGAGGGTCAAAGTTCAGAACATTAAGAACAGTTTTTAATGTTGCACCAGTTTGAAAAGTCACCATAAACTGCTGAACCAATAGGAAAACCCAAGCAGTGTGTCAGTAATCAGTCAGCTGATCAGAACTGTTTGGCGCCAGTCTGAGTCTCCAGCTGTCCAAACAAAGGGTTCGGTTCGGTCCAGAACCTCTCACTCACCGGAGCCTCGCTGAAGATCTTCCGCGCCGTTTTGGAGGCCAGAACCCGGCTGCTGCTCAGACTCGGAGGCTGTGGGGGGACAGGGACAGGCGGTCAGACTCACGGATCGATCATTATCGATCATTTCCGGTAAAGCCGCTCACCGTGTTTTCTTTGCCAAGATGGACGTCGCTCATCTTGTCGCTCAGAGAGTTGTCGTTCCTGACAGAGAGAGGGGAGCGCGCGGACAGCATCCTGACGGAAAGATCAAATTAAACCAAGTAAAGAGGAAAGTTAAACTAAAGCACACGAAGCTAAACTACAGCAGCGACAGAGACAGACTGACGCGGCGGCTGCTCCGCTCGCCTCTTTATTGAAGCAGAGGCGCCAAACCGAGCGGACCAATAGGAATGGAGCTCGCGCGGCAGCGCAGCCGAACAGCCAATCAGAATGCTCACGTGACAACCAAGATTGCCGGGAATTTCAAACAGTTGTTTCAAAGCTCATAACAAAAGAATTATAAAAACGAACATTTATCAAACATTTACTCTTTTAAAGAAAACATAATCCTGTCCGACAGAAAAACGTTAATTTGGTTTAAAATAATATTTAAAAAAGCAACTTTAATCGGAAAGAACGATTAAAATCCTCACATTCCTGATAATTATCCGATTAAAGCTCTTCACATTAAAACAGCCGCTGCGTAATTTAATATTTAATAAATCCTTTGATAGTTTAGGCGACTTCTAACGTTTATCAAAAATAGCACTAATAATAATCATAACTCGTGAACGAGTTGTGCCTAAAATGTCGGAGTTTTGTCTCTAATTTGGGATTTATTACGACTTTATATAAAAACATTTGTATCCAAACATGAAATAAAGCACTATAATAATCGTGAGGTGGTTTTTATGAAGTTTATTCGTGTTTTGGCGGCTGCCGCCCTTTTTCTTTTGTTTATCGTCATCGAAGGTCTTGTCAAAGATTGTTATTAGCGCCAAAAGTGATTTTTTATTCCACATTAATGACGCGCCTCTCAGGTGAGTAAAGACCGCTCTTAGACGGTAAAGGTACAAACAGGTACGAACAGGTACGAACAGGAGCTGCACACGTAAAGTCAGCGGAATCACGCTGCAGTCACGGAGTCTCACACCGGATTTATAATTCGTTCTGTCATAGTTCGTGATTCGGACGAGCTGAAGATGTTTAATAAAGTCGTAGTTTATTACCTGAGGCAGAACTTTTCCCTCTAAAATCAGCAGATTTTAAATGGACCGCTTCATTCGCTCAACTGCTTCCGGTTTCCGGTCCCACGGCGCTCAGGACTCACCGGCAGCAGCGCCCCCTGCTGGTCCGGAGGAGCAGCGCCCCCTGCTGGTCC